ATTTTTAAATTACTCAAAAATCAGGCAAAAGTCCCTGTACTATAGTATAGGGTCATTGGCCAAATCTTGCTGAAAATGAAAAGAGAGAATTCTCCATTTTTACAATTTTTATGTGATGCATATACATGTACATGTTATCAATAATTACATTATATACTATGTCCCAACTGAGAATGGACCGGAAGTGGAAGCAGCTGCATTGGAATTTGAAAAATGTAGCTACGTCACTAATGACGAATTATAATGATATTCATAGAGACATGGCCGATATTTTGGCTATCTTGTTTCACTCTTAAACCAGTCTTGTTCTTCCTGATAAGCAGTACAATAGCTGCTGGAGTCACCTAGTCTTCATAAAGGCTATCATTATCAGAAGATATTGCTCTATTAGCATTTAAAAGAAGAATTATCATTTTGGGCGCTCGACCACATGTGCTTATATAAACTATGACATCATAAAACGTCATTGCGGTTAGCTTTGGTATGCCATTGGGTTTATAGGGAGAACCCGGTTCTCAGGGTTCCCAAGGGCTGAGAGACCCAAAACCTGAGATCCTGAAGCGGCATTGGGCGACTAAGAACCTGTGAAAGTCTCATCCTTATCCCGCATTCCTATAAAAAGTTATTCCAGTTTTTCTTGGTCCAAACTCAGTTGGGACATAGTATAGCTAATAGCTTCATGTGTTATAATTATGTCCATTATATTAATTGATAGATCAGTAATTATGTTCATAATGATCCTGCTCCTTTAATGAGAGGAGTCACCATTGATAGTGAGGATAAACTAATCATTGGAAATGAAAATGGAGAACTTATACTACTGGACTTAAGACATATCAAGTAAGAAAAAGAGAGAGAGAGGGAGGGAAGGAGAGAGAGAGGGGGGAAAGAGGGGAGGGAGAGAGAGGTCCAGTAGATAATGCTTCCAGTGAACTGTATTATATGTGTTGTAATAATCGAATTGACAATGATTAACAAAGAACTAACAACAACGAAAAAGAGAGAGACAACAGAAAGACAAAAGAATGCCTTATATAGTACAGAGAACAGTCTAGAAACATACAGAGTGATTACAAAAATGAATTGCCTAGAAGTGTACAGAAAGTCCACATGAATGTTCTAGAATCTACCAAATACATGTACAATAATAATAAAAAAATAATAATCAATAATGTTAATTTACTGTTACATCAATATGTTTATACAGGTCACCATTAAAGACAATAAGATGATCATCATCACCAATATGTTCACTGTGTTATAATAATAATAAAGTATTAGTAGGACACAGTAAGTAACACATACTCCCTCCTCCTCTTTTCTTCTCTAAGTTCTGTTATATTTATTTTATTGCTTCTTATTTTTACTGCAGAGAATGGGGTGTGCATTAATTGGAGTTATAATGATGACACATTACTCAATGATCATATAACTGGTACTGATATTGATCCAATAAGTTCAATAGTGAGAAGACATCATGTGACATACACTAGTTCTAGGGATGGACGTGTACGTATGTATGAGAACATTTAAGTTAATTATTTATGTGATATTATAATTACTATCAAACATGTACTATTGATTGTGATTTGTGTTGCTGTTATTGATCAATGCTTTCATAAAGAATATTGCTCAGATGTGTAGATTCACATCATGTTAAGATTAATCAAAAATCAACTAAAATGAGTTATTGTTTTAAAATTAAACTAAAACTATAAGTACATAAAATAGTTTTACACTTAATCATGAATAATAGTAAACTTCACTACAGGTAGTGGTTTGTTAGGTTGTTCTCTTCTATGTATATCAATAAATGATTCTTTTTGATGTTTAAGAGTTTCCTCAAGGAGACTAGTATATTCAATTTCAAAGTATTCAAGTGAAGGATGGATAAAAATAGTTTCATATATATGTTGTACTAGTTGTTTCCAGATAGGTGCTATGTACAACTTACTGATGGATACACACTCTATCCTCAGTAGTCTGATGGCTGTATGTGACTGGAGCATGTTAGTAACAGCAGGTAGTACCTGTTCATAAAACAATGGTGTCATTATTTGTTCCTTCTCTTCCCTACTACGGTTACTGTATGACTGATCTAGCTTGAAGATCAATTCAAGCTCTGTGAGATTGTTCTTTTGAGAGATGACATTAATAAAAGTTCTTATCTCTTCATTTAGTGGAATGGATACACTCAGCTGCTTTAGACTGGTGTTGCGTCTGAGACCAGTTGTTAGGGAGGACAGGAATGAACTGGGAATGGTCATGTTATTAAGAATGTCATTAATTAATAACTTAAAATAGTTTAGTGTTTGGTTTTGCATTAGCATGTCTTGTAGACTAGTGCCCATACTGCTGTTGGTATATACTCTCTCCTCCCATATCTCCACACTCAAAGCTTTAAGTGTAGTATTGGTTTGTAGAATAGTAAATAGTTCAGTAGCATTCTCAGCTGTATCTAGTAGTAAAGTAAGTGCATGTAGACAGGGATGAGAGAGAAAGAGAATTGACAGTGGGTATTGTTCATGTAGTACCAGGCAGTGTAATCCTTTGATATGTTGAAGGAGTGAAATTAAGCGTGGATTTATAGGTTCAATATACACACCCAATTTTTGACCTATTTCTAGAGCATTCAGTGGTGTGTTCACCTCTACTATATTCAGTGATGATGATAGGAGGTCATCAGGTATGACTAATGAAAGAGCTTGTAGTGTATTGTTGTCCTTTAGTAACTGCTCTATTATTCCATCAGGTAGAGGAGAAGGAGGGTTATCATCATGATCAATATCTAGTGTTAATGACGTTATTGTTTTATTTCTTGTTATTCCTCTAATAATATTGATAATGATACATGTTATTTCCTCCATTCCACTATATTCTATTTTTATTTCTTGTAGTGTTGAATTTATTGCTATACATTTCTCAAGTTCAGTGCACTTGTCTGTGTAGTTGTCATCTGTTGGTATAGTAGGACTGTCCATCATTACGTGCAGTATCTTCAATTGAGGAAGATTGAGAAACTCTAACAATACAAGACATGGAACATATTGACCTGGATATAAATCACAATAGCACTCCTGAATATTGTATAAAAGTGATGATTGCAATAGTCTGTGCATTAATTCATCAGTGGGTTGTTTCAACCCTACCTCCAGTCTCTTACACTGGGTCTGTAGGGAAGAGTTATTGGTTAGTCCAGAAATGAAGACTGACATTTCCTGGTTAGATACTAACCTCAAGTGGATGTGATTCCATGTTGTGTTGGAATTGTTAATACAATAAGTAAGACACAACCAGTCAAACAAAGACACTCTAAACAGACACAGTGAGTGGTCATTAATTGATTGTGCTAATGCATGACATAATTTTGTGTTTCGAGATTCATACAAGAGTTGAAGAAGTATTGGAACATTGTCAAAATCATGAGATTTAACATGATCAAGAAATCTGATCTCAGGAATTTTGTGAAAGTAGAAGCGGTGATATTTCTCAAATCCAAACAATGGTTTTCTCTTACACTGCAAGTGAAGCTGTTGTATATTAAAATATTGTTGATAGTTCTCATGTTCAAGGTGAGTTAGACCTGCTACAAACCTCAGACACATTCGAAAGTGATCATCATCAAAGTGATCCTTAAACACTTCCTCTGTCTTCTCCTCATGCTTAGCTATCCACCATGCTGATAGAAATTCCTGTATACTCAAGTGAAGGAACTGATACTTTTCCTCATCATATTCCATGAATGTTGTCATCAATCCAAGATAGTCTTCCTTGACTGCCTCACTCAGTGACTGTACTTCATGTGAAGAGAATGTCATTGTTGTATTAGCCAGGTTAGTATAAGCTAATTGACACATCTCTTGTAAAGGTTTAGCAAATTGTGATGGCAATGAAGAAAGACTACTTAAAGTACGTGGGTTAATGTCATGTCTTTTTACATGTCTTCTGATTGTTTGTAGGATAAAGTTCTCATACAGTTGAGTGAGTGTTGTTGGTAAGTGTCCTCCTTCCTTACGATAAACTAATATGACCATGGAACAGACTAGTGGTATGTAACACAATGATTGGACATCATCTCGTACTTCAAGATCATTAATGAGTTTCACTGCTAGTTGTGAATCTTTATCTGCTGGTAATTGGGCTTCATCAATATCACTTTGAATATCACTTTCGTCCATAAAACCTATGTATTTCATAATTTTTTGAGCCAACTTTGTATCTTTTTGAAGTGTTTTTATAATTACTATTAATATTTCTTTTTCAGAAAATCCAATAACTTGAACATGCCTACTGGGTGGATCATCTATCTCTAAAAGTGAAGAGGAGGCATAGCTACGAGAGGTAACAATTACTGAACATAGGTCTAACTGCTTTCTATGAATGATACTAGCAGCAAATGAAGACTGTCTAAGTTGTGCACTTAGTTCATCCCAACCATCAAAGATTATCAGTAATCCTTCTCCATTCCTCTTCTCAAACCATTCGGCGACCATGGGAACTTCATAACGTTGATGCACAAACAGGTCAGCTAGTGTAGTAGCTGTAGCTATCTTGCTATTCCTTAAAGGACAGTAAAGTACTAAGTCATACTGTTGGTGTGGTAGTGTTCCATTGGACCACATATTTAACAGTTTACGACAGAGTGTTGTTTTGCCAATACCAGGAGGACCATCTATTACTACTCTGAGAGATAGAGAAATATCTGTTGGTCGTAGAACATCTTCAACACTTATCTCTTCATTCTCGGTTAGTTTAACTGTTTTATCAACTTGTCCTCTTAACATATGCCAAGCTGATTCGGTTTGTACACTGGAGTCTTGTTTTTCTACTAGTGCTAGTCTTCCAAAAAAGTCCTTTCCAATTCTTGGAGGCCAGTCTGTAGCAACAATAGGTTGGTGTTTATAGTGTTGTCTCATATTGTCAGCATATCCTTGGACATCATCAGGTATTGAAGCAGCTTTAGCTACATTAGACAGTCCTATTGATTTATGTAAAAATTAATTTTAAAATATCTTAATATTAGATTTACCTCTTATATTAGTAACTTGTATATTGGATACATCTTCAACGGGTGAAGGTGGTACAGTATGTGAACTGACATTATCAGGTACAGACTGACCTATTGTATTGAGATAAAGAATAATTACATTGATCAATGAAGCACTATGGTGCAATGGACTCGCCTGCTGGAATTCACCTGAGTGATATGTATTACTTGTACTGTGATATTTTAAGCAATTTGAAAAAAAATTATTATTATTGACTGCATAGTTATAATGATAATTAAAATAAGCTATGGGTGTGGTCAATAACTAACTAAATCATGGCACATGGGTTGGAGAAAGAAGAAAAGCTGAAATTAATTTTAGCATCTGAAGTTCTTTTCCAAGAAAGAGTTGGCACAGAAAATTTTTCTAGATATTTAAAAGAGACTGAGAGAGTTTGGTTGCTCCTGCTTTCCCCAGTGCCGCCTGAAAAATTCTCAAAGAGGCTAAATCACAAACTTTGAGCAACTATAACTCACAAACAACAAAGTTAGGACAAAATCGTTCTTTTTGTTTTTTGTTAAATGGGATTTTCTACCTCTGAAGCAAATCTCGGCTCTGTAGAGTAAAACACGAGCTCTCACCTGGAGAGAGGTCCCCTGGTTTAGCAGTTCACAGCTTTTGGTGCCACGGAATGCTACAAGAGCATAACTAGATGAAAGAAAGCAACTTTATCTGTTGCTAGAAGAAGAAATAGAGCTCTAGACTGCTCAGACAAAAAGATAATTTTTTTACAAATCAATTAAACTGTGTGGACAGAATGACAGAATGACAACCCAACTGCTTAGTACCCGCCTATGCAAGCGTGGCGAGTCCAATGATAATGTACACACACACACAAACTCACCTAACTGGTGTAATATAGAGGTAGCAATATCCGTTAGGGTACAATGCTGTTGGTTTATTAATACATGACATATATCAATAAAATACTGCTCTGGATTAAGAGAGGATTCCAACTGTCGTTGTATCACAGACACTAATTGACTTGATTTCCTATAATCAGATATTCCTGGTACTGTTTGTACATTTTCTTTAGCATCCAGTGATATCAGTCCTTCAGCATACAGTGCATCAGTTACTCTGTAAAGGTTAGTAGTAATAGCATCAGTGAGTTTAACAGAATGAGTCCTTAATATATCCTTTGGATTGCCTGTATAATGTATTAGTTAATGATGCATATTAGTAATAAATGTCATATGTTTACCTTTTATAGTGTCAGGATTAGCATTACTGGCCACATTATCATTAGAGCTTATTCCATTAGTTTCTGTTGATGTACAGGTAGTGTCATCATTACTGATTGTTGTTTCCATATTATCATCAGTTCCTCCAGTGGACCATTTCATTTGAAGTTCAATATTATCAACTAGTTCATTCTCTTTACATTGTTTCAAAGCATTAATGACATCTCTCCATGATGCTGTAGGATTAACTTGTAACCATCTCTTATGTAATGCCTCCATCCTGAGGTAAGAACATCCATTCCTTTTAATTATATCAACATCAAGTTGTGTTATCCCACCAGGAAGACAAAGAGCAAATGGTTCCCAATCAACAAGAGGTTCGAGATATTTTACAAATAGAAAACAAGATGGTTGATCATCAATCATAGGACCAGGATTGAGTTCAATATCTCCTGATAAGAGGAGGAGCATACGTAGACAAACAATCAAATAGAGATCATTGTAAATCAGGTTAGAACTGCTGCCTACAGGTAAGACTACTGACTGGAGGTAATTTGTATCAGTAACAGTAACACCAGTAGTACATTGTACTTGGTAGCAGATACCTAATAATTAATACCAGTAAATATACAAGTACAAAGTTGCAATTGTTGTTTACCTGTTGGAGGAATCATCAAGATGTGTCTTAATAAAGAGAGAGTGTGAAAGACGAGGAGGAGGAAAACAATAAGAGACAGAGCTGCTGCTGGCAGTTTAGATGTCTTCTCTCCTGATGTAGTACTGCCTGACTTGCTGTCTACTGCAGCTTTGAATGAGTGAGAGTGGCAGCCATTAGCTGGTCTACTGGAGGCAGCTTGACAGTAGTTCCACAGTCCAATGCTTGCTCTCCATTGAGAGACATCAATCATCTTGTAATTATTAGTAAAGTATAATTAAAATGAACTATAATATACTTACCTCTATCACTGTTAACGAACAACTGTTCTAAGATAAAGAAATGAAAAGACACAGTCAATATAAAAAAGAACAAGCTAGTGTTACAAGCCAATTGAATTGTGCTGCAGTTGCAAAAGGGAGTGGCTCAATGAAGCCCCTCCTTCATTAAAATGTCTGTTACTTGGACACATTTCTTTTTTGAAGACAGCCTTAGCTTAGACACTAATAGACAGGCAGTGCTACCATTGATGTATGATGTTAGAACTAGATCTATATCTATAGAACTGAAATATACAATGTAAAAAGTAAAGAGATAAATAGAGGGAAGAGTGTGGGGAGTTTTTTGCAGATTTAACTGAAATGACTCGGGAGGGCATGTTGCTAAAGTTTTGTAACAATCAAGTTTAAGTATTGCACCTACCACCTAAAAGGAACGTGCTATAGTACTGGGTATATTGCATGGTATTTTATCAAAACTGCATTCTTCATTTTTATTACGATTCTGGTGTACATGTACATGTTGTATCATTATGACATTAATTGTAAAAATTAATAGTTATTATGTACATATGTATGTTTGTGCATTTAATAAATTTACATTATTATTATAATTTATTACTTTATTCTACAGTTGATGAATACTGTACTGAAGGTAAAGCTCTGTGGTCAGTATCTGATGATGGACAATTAAGAATATTTGACATTAGAAATAAAACAATGGTAAGAAGAAGGAATGAGAGAAAAGAGGAGAGTGCATACATGTAATTCATTGTACAATCAAAATCGGATTTTTACAAATTTCCCTGTACTATAGTATAGGGTCATTGGCAAAATTTTGTAAAAATTTAAAACAGAAAGTTCTCCATTGTTATTACATTTCCTGATGCATATACATGTACTTATGTTGTGTAAAAAGTTTGAGCTCATTCCAATCAAAATTAGACTTTTTACGAATTTTTAAGTTACTTAAAAATCATTCAAAGGTCCCTGTACTATAGTACAGGGTCATTGGCCAAATCTTGCTGAAAATGAAAAGGAGAGAATTCTCCATTTTACAATTTTATCTGATGCATATACATGTACATGTACATGTTATCAATAATTACATTATAGCTTCATGTGTTATAAGTGTGTCCATTATATTAATTGATAGATCAGTAATTATGTTCATAATGATCCTGCTCCTTTAATGAGAGGAGTCACCATTGATAGTGAGGATAAACTAATCATTGGAAATGAAAATGGAGAACTTATACTACTGGACTTAAGACATATCAAGTAAGAGGAAGAGAGAGGGGGGAGAGGGAGGGAAGGAGAGAGGGAGGGAAAGGTCCAGTAGATAATGCTTCCAGTGAACTGTATTGTATGTTTATACAGGTCACCATTAAAGACAATAAGATTATCATCATCACCAATATGTTCACTGTGTTATAATAATAATAAAGTATTAGTAGGACACAGTAAGTGACACATACTCCCTCCTCCTATCTTCTTCTCTAAGTTCTTTTATATTTTACTTATTTTATTGTTTTTTTTATTTTTACTGCAGAGAATGGGGTGTGCATTAATTGGAGTTATAATGATGACACATTACTCAATGATCATATAACTGGTACTGATATTGATCCAATAAGTTCAATAGTGAGAAGACATCATGTGGCATACACTAGTTCTAGGGATGGACGTGTACGTATGTATGAGAACATTTGAGTACTTATTATGACAGAATTGTTCTCATTGTACAATAATATTTTGTAAACAAAATATTTATTAGAATAATTAATAATTAACACACACAAAGCATGCTTGCTAAATAGACAAGGGACCAGCTTACAAAATAAATAAGAAAAGAGTGGCCAGTGCAGGGCCCCATAATAATAATAATACACCATAATAGTAAATAATAATAATGATGAGTACATTTAATGTGTGTGTGTATTTACATGTATGTGAACATAACATACTCATTAAATTTTAAAGTGACATTAATACTGAATCCATTTTTAATTAACTCACATTAATAACAGTATTAATTAATAATAATATTATAAGCATCATTTAATCTATTATCACTGTTGGTAGTGGTTTGTGCAGTTGTTCTCTGTACCTATCAATCAATGTCTTCTTTTGGTCTTTAAAGGTTTTCCTCAGGAGACTATGAGTATAGCACAATTTAATGTATTCAAGTGATGGATGTGTGAAGATAGCTTCAAATAAATCTTGTACCATTTCTATCCACTTAGGATCAGATGGTCCCTGATCAGGTGCACCACAATTTATCCTCAGGAGTCTGATGGTTGTATGTGACTGTAACATGTTAGTAATAGCAGGTAGTGCATGTTCATAAAATAGAGTATAATGTTCTCTATCCAAGTGCATATTAAGTTCTGTGAGATTATCCTTCTGAGAGATGACAGTAATAAATGTTCTAATGTCAGTCAATGAAATCCAAACATGCAATTGCTGTAGACTGGTGTTGTGACCGATACCATTTGTTAGGAAGGACAAAAGTGAACTGGTAATGAGATCAGTAGTCTCGACCCGGGGCGAGACTAGGAGATCAGTAATTTCAAAATATTTCAATGATTGGTTCTTTGTTAGCATCTCTTGTAGACTATTACCCACACTGCTGATGTCTTGACTGGTGTAGTTATAAGGATACATTGATACTCTCAGAGCTTCAAGTGTAGTATTGGTTTGTAGATTATTAAATAGTTCAATAGCACTCTCTGTACTGTCTAGTGATAAAGTAAGAGTATGTAGATTGGGATGAGGGCGAGAATCAGGGTCAAATAAAAGACGTAGTGGGTATTGTACTACAGGTGCATGTAGGCAGTGTAATCCTTTAATAAGTTGAAGGAGTGATGTTGTCAATTTATAATCAGAAGAAAATCCTATGTCTAGAGCTTTCAGTGGAGTTTTCACTTCTATATCTTTATTCAGAGATGATTGTAGAAAATCGCCTGAGGTTTTCAATGAAAGAGCTTCTAATGTGTTGTTGTCCTTCAGTAACTGCTTTATTAATTCATCAAACATAGGAGCAGAAGCAAAATACTTCAGTGTTAATGATTTTATTGTTTTATTCCTTGTTACTCCTTTAATGACACTGACAATGGCAATTTTATCCTGTCTATCGAAATTGATCTTCATTTCTTGTAGTTTTACATTGTTTTTTATACATTTCTCAAGTTCAGTGCACTCATCTGTGGGATCTCCTATTGGTACACCGGTACTATTTATTCTTATGTGGAGCAACTTCAATTGAGGAAGATTGAGGAACTTTAGCAAAACATAACATGCATCAAACTGACCGTTATATACACAGTAGCACTCCTGAATGTTATATAGAAGTGATGGTTGTAAAAAATTTTGTAGCAGTTCATCATTGTGCTGAGGTAATGTTACTTTCAATGCCTTACACTGGGTCTGTTGTGAGTTGTTGGTTAGTCCATCAGTGAAGACTGATAGTGACTGGTTAGATACAGTCCCCAGGTGCAAGTGATTCCATGTTGTGTTGGAATTGTTTATACAATAACTGAGACACAACCAGTCAAACAATGATAATGATACTCTATTCAAACACAGTGAGTGATTGTTGATGGATTTGGCTAATACTTGACATAATTTTGCATTCTGTGATTCATACAGGAGTTGAAGAAGAAGAATGGGAACATTGTCAAAATCATTAGAACTGATGACATGATCATCTTCTCTAATTTCAGGATTTTGAAAGAAGTAGGAGAGATAACAAGATTCAAATTTAAAGAATGGTTCTTTCTTATGTATACAATGTAAGTCAAGTTGTTGTGTATTAAAATACTGTTGATAGCTCTCATGTTCAAGGTGAGTTAGACCTGCCACAAACCTCAGGCACATTTGAAAGTGATCATCATCAAAGTGATCCTTAAACACTTCCTCTGTTTTCTCCTCGTGCTTAGCTATCCACCATGCAGCTAGAAATTCCTGTATACTCAAGTGAAGGAACTGATACTTCTCCTCATCATATTCTTTGAATGTTGTCATCAATCCAAGATAGTGTTCTTTGACTGCCTCACTCAGTGACTGTACTTCATGTGAAGAGAATATCATTGTTGTATTAGCCAGGTTAGTATAAGCTAACTGACACATTTCATGGAAAGGATTAGCTAATTGTGATGGTAATGAAGAAAGACTAACTAAAGTATATGGTCCAATATCATGTCTTTTAACATGCCTTCTGATGGTTTGTAGGATAAAGTTCTCATACAGTTGAGTGAGTGTTGTTGGTAAGTGTCCTCCTTCCTTACGATAAACTAAGATGACCATGGAACAGACTAGTGGTATGTAACACAATGATTGGACATCATTTTGTACTTTAAGATCATTAATGAGTTTCACTGCTAGTTGTGAGTCCTTACTACTTTGAATAGTTTTGAAATGTGAATAATATTTTGCAGTTTCAGCTATGAGTTCTTTTGCTAGTTTCTGATCTTTTTGAAGTATTTGTATAATTACTGTTGATATTTCTTTCTCAGAAAACCCAATGACCTGAACATGTCTGCTGAGATTATCCATCTCTAAAAGTGAAGAGGAGGCATAGCTACGAGAGGTAACAATTACTGCACATTGGTCTAACTGCTTTCTATAAAATATTTTAGCAGCTAATGAAGACTGTTCACTTAGTTCATCCCAGCCATCAAAGATTATCAGTAATCCTTTTCCATCCCTCTTCTCAAACCATTCAGGTACATTTTTATACTCATTAAGTGGATGCATAAACAGGTCAGCTAGTGTAGTAGCTCTAGCTATCTTGCTACTCCTTAAAGGACAGTAAAGTACCAACTTGAAGTCATGCTGTTGGTGTACAAGTGTTTCTTTGGACCACATACTCAACAGTTCGTAACAGAGTGTGGTCTTGCCAATACCAGGAGGACCATCAATTACTATCCTGAGAGGCAGAGAACAATCTGTGGAATGGAAGAGATCTTTATAACTTATAGTTTCGTTTCTGGTTAGTTTAACTGATTTATCAACTTGTCCTCTTAGCAAATGCCAAGCCGATACATTCTGTGTGCTGGAGTTTTGCTTTTCTACTAGTGCTAGTCTTCCAAAAAAGTCATTTCCAATTTTTGGTGGCCAGTGTATAGCAACAATAGTTTGGTGTTTGTAGTATTGTTTCATATTGTCAGCATATTCTACGACATCATTTATTGAAGCAGCTTTTAATTTAGCTACATCAGACAGTCCTATTGATTATGAAATTTATACATGTAAAAAATGATATTAAATTATTGTATTAGATTTATCTATTATATTAGTAACTGCTGTATTAGATACATCATGAAGTGGTGATGGTAGTAAAGTACTTGAAATGCTTTTGTCAGGTATAGACTGAACTAATGTATTCAGATGACTATTATTAATGATTGAGATACACACACTTATAATTCTGGGGATTACATTTGATATTCATTTAATTTCATTAGGAAAAGGGAACATTATCTAACATCAATTCTTGCCTATATATGCCAGGAGGTTGGATTTTGCTTTGCCCAGTTCATCTTGATAGTCATCACAAAGTTGTAATAATGCATGCCAATTGACATCTCTATCTGCATCAAACCATCTCTGGAATACAATAATAAGATTGGTTTGTGCTGCTCCTGGTATTGGCATCAGATCAGCTGCCTTTACATTCAATCCAGCCCCTATTAGCATGTAATGTTGAGCAGAAGGAACAAATATTTTAGTGACTGCTGCCATATTAAGCTCCTTCTCTAGTAATAAAATAATTTATTAAAACAAATTACCTGCAGTATATCTTATCAATTAATGAGTTATACTAATCATATGTTGACTATGTTTACCTTTTATAAGGTCAGGATTAGCATTACTGGTCATATTATCATTAGAACTTATGCCATTAGTTTCTGTTGATGTACAAGTAGTGTCATCATTACTGATTGCTATTTCCATATTATCATCAGTTCCTCTAGTAGAACATTTCATTTGACGTTCAATATTATCAACTAGTTCATTCTCTTTACATTGTTTCAAAGAATTAATGACATCTCTCCATGATGCTGCAACATTAGCTTGTAACCATTTCTTATGTAATACCTCCATCCTAAGGTAAGAGCTTCCTTTTGTTTTAATTATATCAACGTCAAGTTGTGTTATCCCACCAGGAAGACAAAGAGCAAATTGTTCCCAATCACCAAGAGGTTCGAGATATTTTATAAATAAGGCACAAGATGGTTGATCATCAATCATAGGACCAGGATTAAGTTCAACATCTCCTGATAAGAGGAAAAGCATATACGTAGATAAACAATCAAATAGAGATCATTGCAGATGTAAATCAGGTTAGAACTGCTGCCTCCACGTAAAACTACTGATTGAAGGTAATTCATATCAGTAACAGTAGCACCAGTAGTACATTGTACTTGGTAGCAGTTACCTAATAATAAAGTACCAGTAAATATACAAGTGCAAAGTTGCAATCATTGTTTACCTGTTGGAGGAATCATCAAGATGTGTCTTAATAAAGAGAGAGAGTGAAAGAGGAGGAAGAAAGCAATAAGAGACAGAGCTGCTGCTGGCAGTTTGAATGTCTTCTCTCCTGATGTAGTACTGCCTGACTTGCTGTCTACTGCAGCTTTGAATGAGTGAGAGTGGCGGCCATTAGCTGGTCTACTGGAGGCAGCTTGACAGTAGTTCCACTGTCCAATACTTGCTCTCCATTGAGAGACATCAATCATCTTGTAAT